ACCGATTCGGGTACAGGTCTTCCAGATGATTAACAGAATATCCAGGAATTCTGATCACGGTTTTCAACTTCAATCAGATTAAAGTATTGTTCAAAAGTACAGTACTTCGTTTCATTTCATGTGCTTGCATGTCACGTTGAGAACAATCTGATGACTTTACCATACCTGCATTTTCAAATGCTAACTAGCTGTGGGCTTGTCCTACGCACAGGAATCAACTAATAAAATAAAATAAAATCAAATAATCTACACTAGAGGACCCATGCTGCTCCGCAGCGTTAAAATAAATATCATATCTGAAAAATAATAAAATTTATGGTATTTTGATTGTTTGTGTAACGTCTTAAACTTAACTGATTTAAACGATCAATAGCTCAAATTAAAGCCTATAATTTGTTGATTTGAGTCTGAAACATACAAGAAACATAAAGAATATACTGGAGCTATTGATTTTAAATCATAGAAAAGCCTTATAAAAATATATTTTATTTTGGATGTTCAGTGTTGTTTTTTATGTTTGCTTGAAACTCGTCCAGTTTGAATAACTAATACAGTATCTTAAATGCAAGCCAGTATTTTACTGAAGGTTCTTAGACCAAAATATATAGGATTATATAACTATAAATGGTGAAATACAACTTAAATTGAAGTAAGAATTCAAAAAATTATCAAATCTATGTTTTTTGGTCGAGTAATACAGTAGATAAATATATGCCGATGCTTGATGTAAAATCTATACGTGCATACTATCAATTTGAGACCTCAATCATGAAAATCGATCGAGTAGAAGAGCCAAACAAACTCCGAAAAGAAAAAAAAACTAATTTAATTCCCTTAAGAAATACATGGGTAGCAAATTTAGTTTACGTATAAGCCGAGTGGGACTGTAGATAAATATATACCGAAGCTTAATATGAAATCTGTGCGTGCATACCTTCAATTTGAGACCTCAATAATGAAAATCGGTCGGGTAGAAGCACCAAACCAACTCGGAAAAGAAAAACAAAATTTAACTCCCAAAAGAAATACATGGGGAGAAAATGTTGTTTACGTATAAGCCGAGTGGGACTGTAGATAAATATATCCAGATGCTTGATGTTAAATCTGTGCATTAATACCATCAATTTGAGACCTCAATCATAAAAATCGGTCGGGTAGAAGAGCCAAACGAACTCGGAAAAGAAAATCAATTTTTTTTTTAATAAATATATTCTAACTATCATTATATTTTTGTGTTTTTCCGGAACATGCTGTAATTCACAAGGGGCAAACACCTAAAACCTTAAAGTGCATGTCAATACAAGCACAAAAATGTGTAATTCAAAAATTCCCACCAGGGGGGGAGGGGGGGTATAGACCAGCCTCCGCTCTATATGTTGTAGCCTACTGGGATATCTATCCTGACACATGTCTCTTTTTAATTGTATTTAATATTACAATAATTTCTTTTCCATTTGAGCTTTTTAGGGACTTATGTCCCTACAAGCCACTAGTTACTTCATTAATTCTATTATTTATACATAAAAAAAAAAAAAAAAAACACTAGACAACCAAAGGACATATAGCTCTTATTTGGACATTGTAGATGAAAAATTTAATAAAAACAACACTGTATTTAGTTGGAATGAAATAACATCTAAAATGAAATGATAGTTAATGCAGTAAAGAAAATGAAAAATTATAATAGTAATGATGTGTATGGAATGTCAAACAAATTAGTAAAAGGTATTATCCATAGTTTAAATGTACCCCTTGCGATGAGTACAAATGCATTGTTAAGGGAAGGATTATTTCCAGATTCCATGAAGATTTCTCACGTTTGCGCGGTCTATGAGAAGGGTCCCAAAAACAAGCCCTAGAGTTATCGTCCTGTTTCAATTGTCCCAGTCCAACTAACGTTGCCGTCGGCGTCCCGTCACTTCTACCGCCTGAAGAGTTGGTTCTCAGTGTTCTAATTTTTTTCTACGCCAGTGGCACTTTACAAGGGGTCAATGTCAGAATAAAGGTGTTATGCAACGTTTTTGTGGTTGTTGTGCCGGGAATTAAATCCGTCCTTTCCGCATCTAAGTCTGAGACATTACCTACCATTTTGTTGTTGTTTCGTGGCTGGCAACATAACATAACAATTGGGTTGTGTTATTCTTAAATATGATATCAAGTGCTCTACATATGAATGATATTTAATATTGAAAGTTTTATAACTTTCTACGGTAATCATTGAATTACATTACTGTAATAACAAATTCCTATCGCTGAACTCAGATAAATTAATATTCAACTAAGTTACCTTTCAAGCTTTGACTATTGATAGAACTTCTTTTCTTTATCCAATACTTAATTCAAGTTTTCAACCATCTAGGTTAAAATGATTGATAACATTAAATGCCAAAAAATAAAATATGAAGAAAAATGCGGCCGAACGTCGAACGCCAGCATCGGACACTGCCGTTGCCGTATATGGCTGAAAGCGTCCGTCGTCTGCCAATCTTCCCTACTTTTCATAACACACAAAAAATAGTCAGACTCGAACGATCCCGAGGTTTGGGTTAGAGTTTGTGATTAGTCCATTCGTTCACCACAAGTGTAAACGCTACAATGAATTTCAATTTGGTAGAACGATTTGCAATAAAAATTATTAAAGTTCCCCTGGTATAATAGTTTATCTATATATACAATATTTTGGGGGGGTCATGACCCCCCTGGGACCGCCCTTGCATAACTGTGGGTTCATCAGATGACATTAGCACGAAAAACAGGATAATTACCGATACAAAGGATATGTTTGTAATGTCCACATCTTTACTTATGAAACTTGTTATAGATGTTGATACTTCTGAGACAAATGATAAGTTAAATTTATGAAATAGGTTGTATTAAATCTATAAATGTTCTTTTTATGTATTGTTTTATTAAAAACTATGAAACCTGATAGCTCCGCTTAACTGGCTCTCACTAATGAAAGCAAACCTAGTTATTCTATAAACTATTGCCTACTGAACTGCATTTAAAAGTTAACAGCCGATTTAGGCCTATGCCTTTTTTATGTGCCAAATACTGCTTCCATAAGTATTTCATTGGAACTTTGAGAGCCTATAGGGCGGATTCCTTGGATTATTTTTTAACACCATATAGATATTTGCACTCACCGATATGGTCTTTACCACCAGGCAAATTTTGATAAAAATTGCTTCAGCCATCTAGAAGGAGTTTGCTTATGACAACATGCAGAAGAGTCGACATATAAGAGCTTTGTTCAATAAATTTTAATGAATATAACTATATAAATTTGATTGGATGGTGTGTTTGGTCTCTGGGGAGCTCAAAATAATAAAGTAATTCAATCCAGAGTGTAGGTTTTACCTACTGTGAGACCTACGCTAATAGGTTATTATGTTTATGGGAAATTCACTGAAAGTAAAGCAGTACCAGGTTCAGGTCTCACCATCAGATCTATGGTACAGTAGACCCTCTCTAATCCGGCACTGCACCACTCCGGCACTCCAGTAATCCGGCGACTTTTGACGGGAGGTCTTCCCCGATCGCGGCAAAATTCTGATTATCTCCCGCGGCAGTGTAGACATCATAATTCTCTCACGTGGTCATGAAAACGTCATCGTCGTCTTGCGCGATCGCGGCAAATTCATGAACATCGCCAGCAGACGTATAGACGTTATCATCGCCTCCCGCGGTCACGGAAACGTCATCGTCGTCAAGCACGATCGCGGCAAAATCACGAACATCGCCAGCGAAGGTATAGACGTTATCATCGCCTCCCGCGGTCACGGAAACGTCATCGTCGTCAAGCACGATCGCGGCAAAATCAAGAAAATCTCCCGCGGACGTATAGACGTTATCATCGCCTCCCGCGGTCACGGAAACATCATCGTCGTCAAGCACGATCGCGGCAAAATCATGAACATCTCCCGCGGTCATGTAGACATAATTGTTGCCTTCCACGGCCGCAGCAAAAATTTTATCATCTCCCGCGGCCGTGTAAACATCATTGTCTACTCCCGCGGTCACGGAAACGTCATCGTCGTTTTGCGCGATCGCGGCAAAATCATTAACATCTCCCGCGGTCATGTAGACATTAATCGATGTCTTCCGCGGTCGCGGCAAAGATTTTATCATGTCCCGCGGCCGTGTAAACATCATTGTCTACTCCCGCAGTCCCGGAAATGTTATCGTCAACTTGCGCGATCGCGGCAAAATCATGAACATCTCCCGCGGTCACGAAAACGTCATCGTCGTCATGCGCGATGGCGGCAATTTTACGATTATCTCCCGCGGACGTGTAGACGTTATCATTGCCTCCCGCGAATACGTAATTGTCATGCCCGTTCGCGGCAATAGCGGTTTCCGATCACGCGAACTTCGGAGACGTGTTTTAATTGCATTTAAGTGTTTTTAATGATAACATTCCAGTAATCCGGCATTTTCACTAATCCGGCAGTATGGCGGTCCTATATCTGCCGGATTACTGAGAGTCTACTGTAGTAGATTATTCCTTCCATGGATTCGATAAAACAGTGTTGGTATGACAAAATATATGGTTCATAACATGAGCTTTATTTTGGCGTAGGTTGGAACTAAAATTTCCCGTAAAATCCCGTATCACAATGCTTTTGTCCCGGTTTCTGTGATTTCTCTGGTTTCGGGGATTTCTCTCTTCAAGCCATATTACAAGGCCACTGACTACTGATCCAGGCAGTGCTGCAATCACCGCTGCTCTTTTGTTTTTCGTCAGATTGAAATATTTTAGTGCCAATTGCGTTCGCTGATAAGGTGCCGCGCCGGGGCTCAGCCCGGGCCTCGCCCCCATTGGCGAGCGCCTGTTGGAATGCCTACACTGAACAAGTTAACTCTCTCTTGGCTTTTCATCGGTTGTTAAACTTGAGCTCATATAAAAAAAGAGTAACATTAGTCACTAATAATAAAATCCATACATCTTAGCTACCAACAATGAAAAAAAAAATAAAACAAAAAACATACTTGATGCAACAAATAATCTGTTTAATAAAAAATGTCCATTTATTTGGATAAGAAATGGTTTTAATCAACTTTCATAACAGTAAAATTAATGAATTTTGTGACTTCAATCATTTTCAGTGCAAGCTCCAATCAACTCTAGGAAGTTTAAGAAAATCTCTATGATATCAACGTATATTTGAACAGCACCAAGAATGTACTCTTCTGGGCTCAGAGAAACTCTTCTTCCTCCAATAATGGCTTGAGTATCAAATATTAAAAATAAAGAAAACAGAATAACACAAACTCCGGCATAGATGATATTGACAATGCGACTCTTCGTCACCATTACAATGATACCAGCAACAACTGCAAACAACATCACCACGACCATCATCACACATACAACCATCGTGCAACTGGTAAAGTCAAAGGGGCAGATGATGGCCATTACAGTAATGGCGACTGTCACTAAAACAGTTAACATGAAGGCGTAAAATACCACTTCTGTGTCCAACCTAGCAGTGGAGTAGCCACACACTCCTGCCATTCCTAGAGTCATGAGGAACAATAAGACAATATTTGTTGGAAAATTTCTTCGTGTGCTTTCACAACAAACAAGCATAAAGTAAGGGACCACAAAAACCACCAGACATATAAATATTCCCCATGGATAATCTGTCGCAAACTCCTGCACTTCGTCTATCATCAGGAAAGGTATGTTCAAGAGGGTGGTGAAAGCCAGTTGTAGAGTAAGGATTGTGTAAACCTTGAACACAAACTTTGACCGGATCTTGGAGTCGTCAAAAGCAGTATCAAACTGTTCATCATCAGAAAAGTCTGCTGAACTTTGTTCATTTATGATATAAGGCCCCGCTTTGCCACCTTTGGCACTAGCAATTTCTGCCATCTGAGCTCCCTTCACTCCAATCATTCTTATTCTTTACTACTTCTCAGTTGATAATATGCAGGAAAGTTGTATCACTAAACCTGTCCAAACAAAATACATTAAATTGGTCAATTAGTATTGGCATCCCCCAATTATTCTATTAGATTACTCATAAATAACTATTTGTATCTCTATTTCAACCGAAAATAAATGTTACTAGTGGCATGTGAAGTAAATAAATACTAGCCTATACAAAATAAAAGTTTTACTACCACATTGAGTAATATTTTATGGTTTTAGGGTTCCATTTCCCCGTTGTTGAAGCCAATATTGACAGTTGACACGAAAATCTTTGGTTTGGGTTTGGGTTTTCAAATAGTATCAATTATAGATAACGTTTTCCCTGGTTTTAATATAGTACACAGTGCATTACTGAGTTAACTGGCTAAGAAGTAAACCAACTGCTGCGTGTACTGAATACTGGCTTGGAAATATAGCGTGATTAACTATATTTAAGTAAAACAAAAATGAGCTGTGTATGGCTTCCAATGCTAATTTTTTGGAGAAAATGTTACGTTAAATCTAAATTTCAATTAAAATTTTGGGAATACCACTATTTTAATCGCCGTCACGGGATAGAGACCTTTAATTTGAGCCCTCTCCCATCGTTCTACGATTTTGGTACCTCTAGGCTCAATAATTCTTTCGCCCCCTATTCTGGTAAATGTTACTTTCTTATAAACCTGACAAATGCTGTCTTAAACACTTTTAATAATTTTATGAACTTAATAGTGGAATAAAGCTTGTGGGACTGAGACAAAACTATCCAACCCGCAGAACATTCCTGCAACAAAGCATGGCCATTGTTACTGCCGAAGTGGCTTCAAATTTCAGGCCTAAAACACTTACTCTATACAGTACAAGATACCATAGATTAAACATACTCCCTTAGTAGATTTGTCATCCTATTGGTTTAGCTGGAGACAATTTTTTAAACCATGATACCCCCTATACATTCATTTTGGTGCCATTTCAGTTACCTATTTAAAACCTCGTTTTACCAAATAAAACAATCCAATCATAAACAATACTTCATCCCCTGGTTAAATTACCACACAACTCATACAATTAATCCTAAAATAATAGAAACAAAATTTCTTTTACACTAGCACCCAGTGTCACCAACATTAACTAAATACTGTAGGCTACATGAAGAATATTCTTTAGAAGTTCCTTAAATTTGTGATGAGTAGTCTAATTTGTTGATTAGTCTATGGTGATACTGCATCTGATTATATTCGAAAAGCACAACAAAGTGATATATTTCAGCCAACCATACCGAACCTCAAGCCTGCTGAGGAGGGAATTGAAATAGTCCTTTGGAGGGTATTGATTTTTTTCAAACCTATTGCAAAACTAGATTCATATTTTTTCGATAATTTTCAAGACATTCTCATTGTTTTCTTGAACATTCAAAAAAACGTATGATGTATTTTTAGTTTATCCTGCAAGTTGTTGTTAGCAAATCAAAAGATAGGACAATAACTTTCATTTTGCGCGGTGAGGGTGGTACAAACACATGCACCTCTAATGGCACTAATCACTCCGAGCAGTAGTGCAGAGCCAGCGATAGGCAATGGCAATACAATGCGTACCGCTCGACAACATTCACCTACAGTAAGTATGACCAATTTTATAACAAATTTTATATGTACCTAGGTAGGAATCGCTAGGGGCTCAAAAGCGCATTTTAAAAATCTGCAACGATGACATCATAGTTTAGTTCAAAATTCCTCCGTTAACAGCGTTGTAGTAGAGCTGTCAGATCTCCTCTTGAGGGAACACCATTACCGCAACGAACGATACGGAATTCAGTCATCGTCATCTGCCTCGGTGGTGTAGTGGATAGCGTACCGAGCTGATAAACCGAAGATACTGGGTTCGAATCCCGCTGGCAGCACTAACTTTTTGTCAACAATTTGTTTTCATATCAGCAAGTTTGGTTGGTTTGGTTAGGTTATGACAGTTTAAATTTATAATAAAAAAAATATAAAATTGAATGTTAGACATTTATAATTTTATTTTATGAACAAAACTATTTTTTAGATTAGTAAACCTTCATTCGTTTTTTTTCATTATCAGCACGTTTGGTTAGGTTATGACAGTTTAATTTAATAATTGAAACATTTTAAAATTAATTTTATAATCTTTCTTAATTTTATAATTAACTAGGCCTAATAGTTAAGTAAAAATTACGCGTGTGCTCTCTACTACAACGCTGTTAACGGAGGGATTTTGAACTACACTATGATGTCATCGTTGCAGATTTTTAGAATGCGCTTTTGAGCCCCTAGCGATTCCTGTACCTAGGTAATGTTGGCAAGTAGTGTACCTTTACTGAGACAGATTTTCTAAAATATCAATTATGTTAAGTTACCAGTACTGGTAGCCTATGGTTATTTATTTTTATTTATAGATTTTTTTATATTTTCCCCTCGACCGTGCGCCTCCTAGGCCTATTGGGAAACCCAGCCAACAATTTAGGCTAATTATTTATGTTTAATATGGACGAGGCCTGTTCAAAAAGTATCTGACCTTACTTTTAATCTAGTACCTGTTGAACCTCATTGAGTTTTTTTTTGCTAACCAAAATGACAGAACGGGTGGAACCGCAAAACTAGGTGATACCCAAGTTTAACAATTCTCTTCAAGACGCTAGGGTGTTACACAACTAAAGTGTTACAACAGATTTAAAGGCGGAAGAACTTCGGTGGACAGTGATCCTCGTTCTGGGAGACCATCAACAAGTTGAAACATCAATCAAGATTGAGTTTTAGTGATGGAGGATTGACATATTTACTGTTCAAGAGCTAGCTACGGAAGTTGGAATCAATATTGGTTTAGTTCATTCAATTATAATGGAAGATTTGGCTTTGCACAGAGTTGTTGCAAAATTTGACCCAAAGAACTTGACTGATGAACAAAGAGAATTGTGGCTTGAAGTTGCTCAAGACCTGGACATGTATTCAGAATTACCCAAACTATCTCATAAACAGTTATAAATTGTGATGAGTGCATGAGTGAACGGGTATGACCCCGTAACCAATGCGCAGTCTAATCAGTGGAAACACTTAACATCGCTGCGGAAAAAAAGCACGCCAAGTTCAAAGCAAAATCTAAGTCATGCTGACTTGTTTTTTTTTTTACTGCAATGGAGTATTTTAACTGAGTTTTATAGTCATGAGTACGCATCTGAGGGACAAACCATTACTCAAGAAAGAGTAGCCTAGGTCTACTACTTAGAAGTTTTAGGATTCTAAGTACGTGTATACGCGATGCAGTGCGTCCCAAGCGTCCTTTAATTTGTCGGCCACAAACTCTTGGTGGCTTATCAGGACAACGCTCCAGCGCATTCTTCCAATCTGTTCAAAACTTCTTGGTAAATCATAGCAGCATTTTCCAGTGCTTCGCCAGGCCCCCTGAACCGGATGTGGCACCATATGACATCTGGCTGTTCTCTACCTTGGAAATGCTCTCAAAAGCAGAAACTTCAATGAAGAAGGAAGTTGTTGCAATGTTGCAATTATTCTGTTTATTGGTAATCATTCTGGGCAACCACTTGTCAAAAAGCTGTACTCAGAACCCAGGACCCTCTTCACATGCTGGCTGCTGATGTTGGGTAGAAGGCAGGTCAAGCAGGCACTTGCTTTCATCACTGGACATGACCATTTCAGGAAACACCTAGCTACACTATGGGAATCATAACTGAAAACCAGGAGTGTTGGGTTTGCAGCATGTCCGTGAGACTGCAACGCATCATTCTGGATTGCGACAAACTTGGGGTTAGGAGAAGGACTCTTATTTCTTCAAAAGCAGCCAGATGATGAACCAATCGCTAAGTTAACATTGGGCAAATGAGCTTATGGACATGGTCTAGGACACAGTTCTTGGCAAATGGTAAACGGGGCAAACACAATTTAAACCAGTACCTAGTATTTTTTTTTTTTTTTTGGGTGGTGGAAAAATGCATTTAAGCTTACTCACACATGCTCAATGGACTCTCAGTAGTACTGGATTCCCGCGGGCTCAATATCCGCAGACTACCGGCTACAAAACCCCTTCATCTCCTAGGAAACTAACTTAGCCTGAACTGTTTGACACATTAGCCTACTTCGGGCTAGGCCTTTTAACAATGCCACTAGGGCTTACCTTCTTATTTCCTCCGAAAACTAAAGCCGACCAAGAACTGCCAGCTGTTAAGAGAAAACTAAAGCCAATTAACTTAAGTTAGTTCTAAAATGAAAGGGACCACAATTTGACTCTCTGGAAAAGTTAGGGTAAAGTATAAAAGTATTAAAAAGTTTTTAAACTGATTCTTTAAAATAAAAATAGTCTAACTTATTGATGGATTGGTTGTTGGATTGATTTTTACCTAATGTAATAGCATAGCCTATAATCAACTACGTTATGAGCATAAGGGACGGCTGCACTTTACTTGACGTCCTACACTCATTCGATTGTTTTTTCGATTCGATATTTTCATTTGATTGTTTCATTCGATATATCGTTTGGTTAGTTAGGTTAGGTTAACCTTACCTAACTAACCAAACGATATATCGAATGAAGCAATCGATTAATCGATATATCGATCGATATTTTCATTCGAATGAGTGTAGGACGTCAAGTAAAGTGCAGCCTAAGGGACTAAGAGATGGTGCAGCATGGAGAGGAGCCTTAAGTTCAAAAAGACCCAAGTTTTATTTAATTTGTCTGAAAATCAAGGAATGCGGTTTATAAGTGGGTAGACTTCCATATATTTTGGCACAAACAACCGAATTAAAACACTGTATTGATTTTTTGATTGTTTCATTCTATATAGGTAGGGTATTGTTTGGTTAGTTAGGTTAGGCTAACCTTAGCCCTACCTAAGTTAACTAACCAAACTATATAGGCCTATCGAATAATCTAGATATATTAATCGATATTTTCATTCGGTTGTTTGTGCCAACAGATAGGCTACAGAAGTCTACCCTTATAAGTTATTGCAGACATAAGCACTTTGAATCAAAGGAAAACATTTCCCGGGGGATTGGTCCCAAGATTTAAGAGGGCTGAACACTCCATCACCTTTGGGCGCATATAATTTAGTCACAATAGCTTAGGTCTACCTATCTTATTGTAACTTAACACTTTTGCCATAGAAAAAGCCTAGGATGAAGTCAATATTATTGACTTAAGTTTAGGTAGGCTAGGTGCCCACAGTAGACAGGTACCGGTACTACCAAATAAACCTCTCCTAATTGTAAATCTTAGGCCGCCTAGGCCTATTTTGGCATAATGTTCCTTATGTCATTACACTTGCTTAAGTTACCTTATTACATGTGTCCATTAGCCTATATGTTAAGAATAAGATATTATAGTGAAAGCCAACATGCACTGATTATACCTAAGGGTATAATAAAACAAAGTCTTACTGTAGGTCCAGTGTCGGTGTTGAGTGATTGATGATTGTCTTGGTAACAACTTGAGTTCATTTTAAGCTTAAGTAAGCTGGACATTTTCGGAGGCAAACCATACGTTTAACCATTAAAGATTCGAAGTGAATAAAAGTAGGCCTAGGCAAGACAAAATTGGGTGAACAACTTTAAAGATTTTTGCTATAAGTTTTAATCGAAATTTGAACGAACGAATCACACACAATCCAACGACAGTATAAGAAACAGAAAACTTCTTTCAGTGTCTTTCCTGGGTTGCAGGCTGCAGTCTTCCTTGCTTCGCTTGACAATCCAATCTTCAATCAGTTCAATCTTACAAACAACAAGATTTAACAGAAAGAATTAAACAACAAACAGCTGTCAGTTACAGATGATCTGAAGTAATCTTGGAATTGGTGGAAGTAATGGTAATCATAGGAAACGTGCCATCACTATGACGCCGTGTAGTGTCCCGTGAGCCTTGCGGGAACTCGACCCAACAACAAGCTGGTGACCACTGGACCACGGCCACTTAACAAAAATGGACGAGGAATGGAACTGGAAAGTGTGAACGTCATGAAATTGTGACGCAGAGTCTACGTCATAGAGCGTCCCGTGAACCTTGCGGGAACACGACCCGTGGCGACATTGCTGCACTGCTCCTAGCTCCAAGCTCCAGAGCTGCATGTTAATGTTGCAGCTCCCACCCAGACTCAGCCATAGAGCCATTGTGTGTGTATTTTTGGAGTAGACAGCTTCCTTGAAATTTATAAATTGTGATTATTGTGAATAATTTACAACAATCTGAAGAGTTTTCGATTAACAAGTAATGTCAAAGACGGTGGACCTCGAACTGAAAAAGGTTAGGCCTATGATTTGTATTAAAAAAGAGGCTGCACTTTAGTTTCTGTGGTTTCTGTTCTACATTTACTCACATATACTGCATATTTGGTTTGAGGTTAGGTTTATTTAGTTAGGCCTAGTGGTGGGCATCATGAATGAAAATAACCGAATCAATCGGTTATTGATGCCAAACAGGCTAATTCGGTTATTTTATCCTGATTCAGTTAAATAAGTCTTACCGAGCGATTCGGTGATTTAACAAAAAGTTTGTCTGTTAAATTTATTTTACCCTACGATATTTTTTTACCTTTTAGCGAATTTCCCTATAGGGAAGTAGCTATTACCGTAGGTGGCACGGTAAGACCTAGACCTGGGACCGATTTATTTTTTTCATTTTGATGTCCCCAGAGGCCAAAAACACCATTCGTTCAAATTTTTATATATGTATATATATATACAAAGTCAAAGTCAAAGTCAAAGTCTTTATTGCCATTAAATACAACAAGTACAATAGGCTCGTCATTTAAATAAACAAAACATGCAAAATCAAATTCATCAACAAACAATTCAAATAAATAAGCTCTAGTCAAAAAACAAAACAAGAAAACATGCACAAACCATGCAGGTGTACCTGAAAATGACTCAAACGGTTACCACCAGATTACTTTTGTCACAGTTGAAAAATTCGGATATGTGGTAAAAAGGATTTAGAGTGAGCCAATTTTTTACAAAAGTGGAGAATTTTTTTGTGTGTAAATTTCTTGTACTTTGGGGCAATTTGTTGAAAAGTTTAATGCCTGAAACAGGAAAAGAACACAATGATTTTTGAAGCCTATTTCTAGGTACAAAGATATCAAACTTATTTCTAGTATCATAACTATGTACATCGCTATTTACATGAAGAGAGTCCTGTCTGGCTTTTATTGCCACCAGACACTGAAAAATGTACTCATTCACAATGGTCAAAATTTCATTTTCAACAAACAAAGGTCTGCAATGGTCAAGGTACCCAGCATTTGAAATTACTCTAACAGCTCTCTTTTGAATTAAAAGAATTCTCTGAGTACCAGTGGCATGGCCCCACAGCCTGGTTCCATAGGCCAAAATAGACTGAAAGAAAGCATGGTAGGCCTGCCTAACTGTTGGCCTTGGAAGCTCAGACATTAGCTTTCTAAGCAGGAACAACACTCTGCTAAGTCTCTTACACAGGACATCTATGTGACCTTCCCAAGACAGCTTGGGATCCAGTACAAAACCTAACAGTTTTACAGACAAACTTTCAGGTACATTAGGCAAAAGGCTGAAAGTTATTTCCTGGGTTTTCAAATCATTAAGAGCTAATTTGTTTAAAATGAACCATTGCTGAGCCAAGGCCAAAGAGTCATGCACTGCTGACTGAGCCAGGAACCAGTTTTTATCAGACGAAAATAAAGTTGTGTCGTCTGCAAATAGAATAATGTGACTATTAACATGGTAATGCAAATCATTGATGGCAATCAAAAATAAGAGGGGTCCCAAGATAGAGCCTTGGGGAACTCCATGGAGCACATCACCTTTCTCTGAAAAAGTCCCATTCCAACTAACAACTTGTTTCCTATTTGACAGGTAAGAGGAAACCACTTTGAGGGCAACATCTCCTAGACCATAGAATTTAAGTTTTACCAGAAGGGCATTGTGAGGAATGCAGTCAAAAGCACGTGACAAGTCGCAAAGAATTGCGTGTGTTGACTTTTTGGACTCAAAAGACTTGATAATTTCACACACCAAGGACTCTACAGCTAATATTGTCGATTTGGCTTTCCTAAAGCCAAACTGTGAGGGAACTAGGAGATTGTTCTCCTCAAAGTAGGAATACATTTGAGAGAACATTACAGATTCCATAACTTTGGCAAAAACAGGTATGATAGACACTGGTCTGTAACTAGACAAACTTTCACGGGGACCTTTTTTATAAATTGGGACTGTTTTAGCTACTTTTAGGGCATCTGGGAAACAACCAGTTGCAAGACAGTTGTTTATCAGAATTGTGAGCTCAGGTGCAACTGTGTGTATAACTTGCTTAACAATATCTGTTGACAAATCATAAACATCCCTACTTTTAGAGGCTTTGAAGTTGTGAACAATCTTTACAATATCATTTGGTTTTGTGGGAGTGAAAGAGAAACTTGTGTTTACCCTGGGAATATTAACAGTAAAATTGGCATCTACAAAAGGTATATCAGGTATTTTCCCAACAATATCGTTGACACTTTGGATAAAAAATACATTAAAATCAGTTGCTGAGAACTTCGACTCCAAGTTCACTGTTGGTCGAGGTCTGCTGTGATTAATCAAACTCCAAGCTGCCTTACATGGGTTGGATGAGCCTGTGATGAAAGCAGCGTTTGCAGAAATTTTTGCGCTTTTAATACCGTGGCGATACTCCCTGCGCAGACTTCTTACCAAGGGCAGTAACTCAGGCTGACTCGTGGACTGCTCATGGACCAGCATGATCCAGTTCTTCAGATGAGCTAAATCCTCACTATACCAATCAATCTTGCTAGGTGTAGCGTGCAATTTAGTTTTAGGCTGTGAGATTCTTTTTTTCTTTAGAGGAAAACAGAAATCAAAAATACATTTAAAACTATTTAGGAAAAACTCAAAACAGTCTTCGGGAGAAGAAAACATAGTGTGGGCCAAGTGTAAGCCACTAACAGCCCTTGACTGCAACGATTCAGTAAAATTTAGTACTGCATCGTCATTAAAAGACCTGAAATCAACAAACTTGTCTACAGAACAAAGACTATTTATATGTAGGCCTACACGGTGAAGGTTTATGTACATAAATACATGTTTATGATCAGCCACCTGATCTCTGCTTACACCTGCTTTAAAATCAGTCTTACACATGTTAGTAAATATATTGTCTAGAGGAGCAACACCACGAGTGGCCTCGGATATCACACCGTACAAATCAAAGCTTCGCAATAGGTTCTCAAAGTCCTTGGCATCACTGGGGAAATAGACAGGGTTCACATTATGATCGGTACCTATTATCACATACCTCCCTAGTGTCAACAAAAATACTAAACATTTTTCCAGTATATCAAAGAAATTACCCATTTTACCGCTCGGTGATCGGTACATAGTTACAACCACCAATGACAAGTCTGTAATAATTGAAGCAGAAAATTCAACCTCTTTTTCTACACTGTACATTGAGAGGTCCAGAGGCTTGACAGAGTAATTAAGTCTATTATTGAAGTACAGAGCCACGCCTCCAGTTGCAGACGTACGACAAAAACTATTAATTAGTTCCAAGTTACCAATACTTTTATAGTATTCAATTTCATCTTCAAGCAACTGATGTTCACAGACCATAAGGAAATCTACTTGATTGTCAGAGCATAATAATTCAAGTTCGATTGTCTTATTCCGCAAACACTGAACATTAATCAAACATAGGTTAAGCCTGACACAGTCTATTTCAGAATCAGTAGACTCAACACGATCTTTGCAAACTATTGACCTAAAAAAGGCTTCACATGTGTAGGACCAGGTTTTCTAGGAGTGAATTCCCTAATTAGAGTCCCTACAGGCCAAAAATCAGCATTCAAGATACCGTCAAAGTCATTAATTGGTACACCTACCTTGAAAGATGCATACGTCGGATACTTAGAGGTTAGTTTGACACAGTCAACACTTTTAATACCACCTCGTGTCACATAGTCCACTATAACTTTTTCAGTTACCTCTGGTTGACATCGAGAGATAAACAACCACGATTTCTTCTCCACAATTTTAAGGCTAGAACTGCCTTCATTAGACCCAAAATCAGTTTTTGTGCCAATGATAGGTTTCTTATTAGACCTGTACCGTGTATTGTATGTATACGTCCGTGAACGCGATAACTTGAGTAATTTTGGTCCGATTTTGATGAAATTTGGTTTAAAGGTGTAAAGCGAGATAAACGTGAATGAGTTCGCGAACCAGCATGATCGGACCATGGGAACGGGGCTTTAGGGGGGGGTTTTATGGGGTAAAAATTGGTTTTTCTCACTTTTGACCCTCAAAACACAAAATTTCCCAATTTCTTTTTAGACCTTTTTAAAGACCTTAAAAAAACAAATAATTTAGTATATAAAAGTATTTTTGTTCGATTATTAGTAACGGAGAAAATTAAAAAAATTTTAAATTTAAAATTCCCATGTTATTCTTATGGAGAATATTGTCAAATGTTGTAATTTGCTTGTTTATGGATATATTTTGATCAAACTTGGCAAATTTATTTATTTTGTACTAAGCTATCAATATTTTACTCAAAAACACACTTTATTAGGTTTCTTGTAGCAGCAAACCTAGGTACTCGTCAAACCTAATGTTATTAAAATATATTTAATTGAAAATCAATTCAGACAAATGGAAATTCGCTTAGTCGGCAGGTTTGCTGCGGCGGGGGTATTTGATGTTATAGGCTTGGCCTACCTATAAATTATTACAAACTGATATTTTTAACCCAAAAATTGTTACACTAAAATACTTTAAGTTATTACTTTTATAAATAAGTTTACTGGGTGGGCCTATTGACTAAATGTTAAGTTATTTGGTTTATCATCACATCATCAGGTAAAATTAAGTTGTTGTTTGGAATAGTGAATAATAACTAAAATTGATTCAGCGATTCATTCGACGAAAAATCACCGATTGACGATAAATGATTGCTAACTTATTCAGTTTCTCATAAGAAAAAAATAGTTGTGGTTTGGGACAGTAATGACTAAAATTGATTCGGCGATTCAATCAACTAAAAATAACATGATGGTTGGCCTCTGGATCGTTAAAGTTAGCACTAATAAGGTTTAAATTACCTGGCTTCTGTCTCCGATCCTGGTGTAATTTGTCGCGACTTATCCATCACCGGCGCCGCATCACGTTTCGCAGTCGTTCTTTAAATAATGTTTAACTTAAATGTTTCGTGTGTGTAAATGTCTACATGTTTTTTGTAAAACCATGAGGAACTCAACACTGAGGAATGTTTTA